ATTTCATTACTATTACGCGTTTCTTATATCGTATATCGTTACGTGACGCTTAGAATCCATTCTAAAATAATCTCAAATCCATTTTCACATATAAATCTGTTCCGATAGCATCGCTATGGGAACATCCCTACCTCAAAACTTGACTCTTCCTAGTAAATACGTAATAGAGTAACAGGTGTATATTTTACTTAGTACAAACTATATTTACATAAAAAAGGTATAGATTATAATAATTTTCTTTCCTTTCCAAGGTTAAAACGCAAAGGTTTGCTTTCTGACTAGTTAGAGCGCCATCTAGTGTCGAATAGTATTATTAATGGAATTTAAATAAATATGTCAAACTTAAACATAATCAAGAATTATGCTATGTAAATATTAATTAATACAACTTATTGAGTAATCTAATTTTATTCTGATTACCTTTTTTATTTCATAACATACACCTAAAACTTTTATAAAGTTGGGACACTACATATAACTTTTAAGTTGTAGTAGTAATAGTGTATGGGTGTAGACGACATTTGGCGATCTTCTTAATTAATTTTAATTTGTTATTACTATACAAAATTGTACTTTTTATCATAATTACGTTTTATTACGGTTTGTTTATTTGAAATCATCACTCGGTTGTATAACGCCATCTATTGATGAATTGACTAAAACAGTTACACGTGCCGTGATTGGTAGAGTCGGTGTTTACAAACAAAGTCGGCTTTCTTTTGACAAGACGTAGCTTCACTTGCAAAGATATAAAAAAAAGACATTTAAAGTAATTTTATTAGCCAGTAATACATTTTTGCAATAAATAACATACCTTGTTTAATCCTAGACTAGGTTCAGGTAAAACTCCCATTTCCTAGGTTTTCTTAGACTTCAAAAATTAAACAAAATACTCCACACATAATCTCTATTATTTCTTGACGAATTAAAATAAAGATAATATGTCAGTTTTTTCTTTTGTTTTGTTTTAATATTTGATAGTGTTTAAATCGAACTTGGAACCACGGTCTTTACTAACAACTGAACACAAATGGTTGCGGCATCCTTTGAACATAAGAAAAAATAATTTCGACACCGCCCAAAACTTTTATTCTTCGTTTATATTTAATACGAGAAGGTTGTCGCCAGCTTGTTTTAACTATAGTTAACTCGGTAAATATATCTTTGTTTTTATTTATTTATTCTTTTCAATTTTAATGGAAATAACATATTTAAAAACTTGTAATTGCGCGTAATAATTAATTTCGCATTAATGTCTGTGTTCAATTTTGTTTATTAATTATTAATATATTTTTGTTAGTTGTTTCTCGCGACTTCACACGCGTGAAATTAAAAAATAATAAAAAAGTCTCATGTTTCTTGCTGATAACGTAGCTATTGAATGGTGAAAGAATTTTTTCAAATCTGCCCAGTAGTTTTTAAGTTATTTTAATAACACAAAAATACAAATCTATCCTTTTTATTATGTTTATATAGATTTAGATTGGATTTTCAAATATCCATTGTGTTAATTTTCGGTAAAAAACAATAATTTGACACACAGAGACTTCTTTGTTTTATTTTTTTTTACTTTAAAGACTCATTTTGATCAACATGAATAAAATCTTTATTTTAAATACATAATAAGTTAATATTTACTATTTAAATTTTCATTTCTTTTATTATGATAGTAGTAATTAAATTCTGTAATTTATTTTCTACTACAAATTAAAAGTTTTATAATTGACTTAAAATGAAATGTGAAAGATGGCCGATCAATGTTTAATAATCCAATAACATTTTTCTAACATTAATTTCCATTTGTTATAATTTAATATTATACAGTGAATTTTATAATGGTGTAATATTTCAGGATTATGTTCCCTTTCAAAGACAACAGGATGGATTATATGGCTGAAATAAATCGTTTATTTCCGAATACAAAAACAATTGAAAATGGTAAGTTCTTTTTTCAAACTTTAATTTAAAAATGGATGTTCTCTGAATAAACGTAAACTTAAAACAATCTCTTTTATATCATTAGGGCTTTTGTGAACAAATAATTAAATATCGGGAGTTAATTTATACATATAAATTTCTGGATCAATCCAAATTAAATTTAAAGTCTAATTAATATTATTCAAATTCAATTATTAACTTGCTTATAACCCTTTTTTTATTGCTAAAATAAACTGAATATATCAGTTTTCTTGAAAAAAAAAAATTAAGAATATCTCATTTATATAGGGTTTTATTTTTTTCAGATGTTCAACCAACAAATATTTTCAACAGTACCTATTCACAATCTCCAATTAATTCAACATTCACGAATCGATCTTCGAGTTCTGATTCTACATCCCCGGAATCCTATCCTGATCTATTCTCATCGTTTCAAAGAACTTCAGAACTTTACAATCTCAGATCCGAGACTCCCTTACAAAGTATACATCCTTTAGGCATCCGGCCTCAGAGACCAATTGTAGGTAGAAAAATCCTAGGTAATACAGAACATTCTAGACCTTTACCTAACAGAAACATTGACAATGATTCACTAATATCCAATTCCTGGATCGATGATTTCACTCTACCTAAATCTACAATTTTCGATCAAAATCAAATACGCAATTATGAATTGTTTCCAATTGAAAAATCCTCACCAACCACTTTTATGACTCCTACACCAAATCTCTCACCTATAACATCAATTTCTACCTTTTCGCCTATACAATCTAACTTTACAGCTGCTAGCTATTCACCTATTAAATCTAATATTTCGACTGCTAATTTTTCGCCAATCAAAGCCAACCTTTCCTCTACCTTTTCCCCTATTGAAAACTTCACTTCGAATTATTCACCATCGAAATCTAACCTCTCGACCGCTTCGAATTATTCATTTTCACCTAGTATGTTGGATTTTGCGCCATCTTCACCTATGTTAATCCCGAATTACAACCCAAGGCCAATGCCAGATTTCACCCCTCCGGGATATTCTGTGGCGGGTACATCAAAGGATGAAATAGCTGAAGAGAAGATGTGCAAATTCTGCAGAAGAAATGGGGAGACTCCTTTAGTGTATATGACACATTTTGTGAAAGAGAAAATTGGGAAAAAGCACATAGTTACATGTCCCATATTGAGGTTGCATGTTTGCTCGGCTTGTGGAGCGACTGGAGATTATGCACATACTATGTAAGTATATTTTTAAATGTCAAATATGTTTTTGTTAGGATTATGTTTGTGTCAATATATCCCATCATTACTAACAGATTATGGATATCCATAGATATGCGACTCTATGGTTATCCATGGATATGCAACCCTATAAATATCCGTAATACATTTGTGTTGCCAGTTTATAAAAAGTTATCTATAATGGGCTGTGAAATATTTTTTGTGTTGTTAATTTTTATAATAAAATAAGATGTTTGTTATCCAAAGTGGATCAATAGGAAGTTTATTATTTCCCCAAAATATTTCTGATTAAAAACATTAATAAAATGGGTCAGTAACTGATTAACCTGGCCATTGATAATATTAGTTACCATAAAGAAAAGTGTTTCTTGTAGATTATTTTATTAATTTTTTATTGTTGTTTTCAGTACATACTGTCCTTTACTACGAAAATGCAACAATGGAAAACGTCTGGAATCAACAACTATCACATTAAAGAATACAAGAATAAAGAGCAACGGCAAAAGACGCTACTGAGAGAATTAATCTGTAAGTATTCTACACTAAAGGATTACACATGCCAGCTGTCATGCCAGCTACTGTCCTAATATGTTTAAACATGCCAGTAAATTGTTCATGCTTTGTACTCCCCTCTTTCCCCATTGACCCTTTACCAACATGGTTGTCCTCTTGCACCCTTGAACTCTCCCTCACTCCTCTTGAGACCTGCCTCCCTCTCTACCCTTTATCCCTCCTTTCCTGACCTTGACCTCCTCAGTCCCTCCCCTTGTCTCCAGCCTTAACCCCTTGTGACCTCCTTGAAACTTGCATGTAGCTACCATAAAATCAAATATGTTACCTAATTGCCAAGTACTGATATTCCAGTTAGCATTTACACTTACTTGTAGCTGGCATGTGTCAGTAGCCTGTATTAACAAACTCCACTGCGGTGACAGCAGGGTTAGTAGAGGAGGGGACAGGAAGGGGAATATCTTTTATGTCCCTATCCTCTGTTAAAGATAACATTGTAAAAACTATGACCAGTGGTAGCTTCGCTTTTTAGGCGAATCCACTTGTTTATTGCCACCTCAAATTTTTTTTATTCATATTTTCGTCTGTTTTATTCTCTTTTACAGAACAGAGACATTAATTATGTATTTATATAAAAAATAACAGTAAGTGGAGTTTGGTAGGATTTTGTTGCAAAAAATTGTTTATATATAAGTGTTTTTAAATGATAGAGAACTGTTAGTTTTAAAATGTGTTGCCATAATTAATAAAAAATACTAAGAATGGTAGATGTAATTGTTTTAACAGTATATTGACTGATTTAAGATAATAATGCAATTAGTTAATTAAATGGGTTAGAAATAAGTACTTTAAATTATGTGCTGTAAGAAAAAATGCTATGGGTTTAGATTTTTTTAACGGGTTGGCAACTTTTCAAATTATTAAAAAAAGTTGTTAAGATTTAAATGATTTTAACCGACTTGCCAAAAGAAAAAGGCACTTAATTTGTCTGTATGTTTTTTTTACGCCTCAAAACATATCTGTATTTAATAGAATATTCGAGTTTTATGGGTTCTCTGAGTGCCAAAAGTGCACAAAAACATTGATTTTATTCAAAGAGGTTCATAACAAAATGTTTTTTTTTTAAAGTTTTTTTTATTATGATAAAATTACATTAGTTTGGTAATAATATGAATGCAGTTAATTCTGAAATATGTGCTATTATATTAACTAAAACTTTTTGATCTCTACTATTTGTTCATTTGTATTTTTTGAACTAATTTTTATTATGATCTCATGTATGGAAACGGGTCTCATAGCCATTTTATTTGATTTTAACATAGATGTTAAGAAGAAAAAAAATATTTAGATAAGGTATGCGTGTTTTTAATTTAATTTTAAGACTGAATATAGAAAATCATGAAACATACAGATAATTTTGACGAAAACTGACATTTGTATCAATAATTCAGATTTTTTAAGTTTTTTGTTTATAAAATATTTTAATTTTACTACATAACTGTTATAAATACTGAAATTGACGAAAACCAAGAAACTCATGTTGTTATTAATCCCATTTTTTATTTGTGTTTAAAACACTATAGAAATTGTTTGTTTTTTTAAAGAAATTTTGACCAAATATTTCATTACACCTAGTTTTTTTTTATTTTTGTGTTGTATATTTTTATTTTTTCAATAACCATAGAAATAGGATATTCCTATTTTGTACAAAATTGACAAAAATATGAGTCTTAAAATCAAAAATCTTCTTTTTTTTTGTTTTTGTTCTGTTTTGTATTTTTTTCTTTTTTTTAAAACTTTGACGAAAAATGACCCAATGTATCAATGATCGCGTTTATTTTTATTTTAAGGTTTTTTCTATTTTTATTTTAATTTTTAGTAATAATGGGTAATTATGGACACTAGTAAATAATGCTTAAAACCATAACAGAATGTAGTTTTTTTAAGTTGTATTTTTCCAATGCAATCTAAAATATAGCTGCATTAAAATTGGAAAAAATATAAAACTATACTAGACATATGCAATCCAGTATAGTTCTGTACTTTCCAGTAGATATCCAGCTAGAATTTCGATTGCTGGAATAGGAAAATGTAAACCGGGTATAAGTAAAAAATAACACTCATTCTAATGGAAATTGAAACCCAAAGTTGTACCAAAAAATGCTTTACAAAATTATTGTTATATGTTATGTTGATTTCTTTATTGACCAACTTCCCAAAAGAGGGAGGTACTTAATTCGTCGATATGTTTTTTTTTTTTTCTTTAATATTTTAGAAGCTAAAAGTTAGTTTTAAGGAAGACTTGGATTAATAAAAAATAACCAATACAAATTGGGTTATTTTTAGAAAATCTTTTAATTTTGACTGTTTATTGACTGATTGATTGTAATATGTTTTTTTTTATGTTTTTAATAGTTTTGCTTATTGTGTAAAGCAAATATTAAGTTTTAACTGGAAAGTAGAACTGTAGTGTTAAAACTGCATGTTTTTAGATGGCTTTGAATGTATGGCATTATTTTTTTAAGAAGTTAATAATTTTGGAGTTTTTTTTTTTATGTTTTTCATAAAGTATGTGATGTTTTTTAAGATACAGAAAGGCTTCAGTTAAAAGTTTAATTTTAAAGTGCTTTTTTGGAGTTACTTAGCTTGATATTTTCCTGCACAAACTACGTTTTTGTTCGAGAGTTTCGAAAACCCAATGGTTTTCAATATATTTTTGAAATATTGACTCTTAAATACAAAGTCAATTTTTACATATTACATGTTTTTGAAAGTTTTAATACGAAAAATGTTTGTCGAATTTAATGAAATTATAGACGATTTTTAAAATTCAATTATTTAGATGTAAGTTTTATTATTCAGTTTCCATCGCATGAAAGCTGTACAAATAATAGCGCCCCCCTCATTTACTATGAATAAAGAGTTGTTTTTATTGGTTTTTCAAAACCCATAGACTATGTCCAACATAATTGTTGGTAATTTGCATGTTTTTTTCTATATTTATTGTTTAATGTTTTAAAAACTGTTAGAAGAGAAATATGTACATTTGGTACTTTTTGTATTTTTCACGGAAGTGAATTGAAATTTTCTTAATATATTAATTTGATTTATGTTGACTTTTATTTAATCTGCCACCCTACTTACAATTCCATGATTTTGTTATTGAATTAGAAATGTGGGATACACAATACTACGCAAGATTTTAAATGTTAAAATTAACGTACGAGGACACAGAAGGTATTCTTTAAAAAAGTATGTTTAGTTTTATATTGTTGTAGCTATTTTATTTTATTCTTCTGTATAAAAATTTCAAACTATATTTTTAAAACAAATGGCACGTAAATTTAAGTCTAACTGTTAACTAATTTGTTGCCGTCTAACGATCGTTTGTTTAATCTTAAGAGCAAGACCCTCACGATACAGATACAGACTGCGCCTAGTGCGAGGGTACTGTAACATATAAAAAAAAAATCGACCGTATTTATAAACTGTATTTTACTACTCCATGTATAAATGATTGTTGGATTTAAATAAATCATTTTTTCATTTTTAATTTGTAGGAATTTCGTTTCTGCTATAAAGTTATTAGTAACCCATTTCAGTAAATTTCTTACATTTATTTTTTAATTTGCCTAGTATAGTAACTAGTAAATATTATTCTACCTTAGGCAATAGCCTAAATATTCAAATATTCAAATCATGACTTCTGCCTTAGTGTAGTAAAATATTATTTGATGCTTGAACCCTATACTCGTATAGTACCATGAAATTCATGTTCTAAAACTTCCTTTTCGTACGGGAATAGAAGTTACGCAGTTAGCTATATTTAGTACATCCCAGGGTCATTGTATTTGATTTCTTTACTGTTTTCGTGCACGTGTGTTTGAAGATAAGTGTTTATTAAATAAAAGAAAAAAAGTAATAATGCCGGCATACGATTGGGCTATAGATACTGAAAATTTGCCTGTAATGCGAATTGTAACACCTCGGAATGTAGAAATGTGTGGAATATTTGGAATGTAAGTAAAACCATATATTTATATTTTATTATAGTCTTATTTATGATTACGCTTTCACATTATTGCATAATTAAAGCTTTGAGTTATCTTTTAATTTTTGAATTGCTATATTTACGAACAATAGAAGTCGGTTTTCAGGTACTGTTATTGATAAAACAGTTAAAGTATTAATTTAAATTGACGTAGAATACTGATAATAATATAATTTATATCTTCTCCGAAATTTGTATAAGCCGAACTCCTAAATACGATATAAACGATGTTGTATTTAAATTAAAACTTTTGTGGTATAATTTTACAGTAACAGTCTTTGTAAACAGATTGCAAATGTCAAAGTCTTTTTTCCTTTTGCCAAATGTCAATGTCATTAACGTCAGTTCAAAAAAAAATATCGGAAAATTAATCGTGCTTCATACTTTACATAAATTCAAAATTACTGTCATGAAATAAATGTAAAGTTAAAAATGAGCCAACAAAAAGTGACTTCGCCTCGGCCACCATCCAAGACAAGTTTAGTAGCAAGTGGTAAAAATGTAATAGATGAAGACGACAGTACGAAACCAGACTTTATTTACGGAGGTCCCTTTATCAAAGTTGAGAAACCTAGTCCATTTATAAATACAACTACACCAATAAATCTCCCGCTGCAAGGAACTTTTAAGAAGTATGTTTAATTTCATATCTCAAACTGTATAAAAAAAACATAAGTATAACATAGGTTATCTCTTAATATAGGTGATAGATATTATCTTATAAGTATATAGCTTGTAGTTCATCTACTTATATTTATCTCGTATAGAATAATCTAGAAATTGCGGATATTCAGCCAAACATTTGTACAAATGTTAATGCCATAATAAGAAAAAAAAATGATTTATTCTTCACAATTATTCAATTTATTCAACTTTCAGTAGTATTCAATTGTCCATATAAATATTTAGTAATCAACCTGGCCTTGTACACAATATACTCTTCCATACATAAAAAAAAAAAATAAATTCATATTCTCTTTCATGCAATTCATACATCATCATCTTATTCCATATTCAATCTTATCACAACATACATATTTTTTTAAAGAAAGGGGTGATGGAGCGGAAGATTGTTCAATCATTATTTGGTCTATTCATGGGCATCTGCATATGTATGGATTGTGTGAAAGAGGATATGCTTAAGTAAAGAGTGAAATTGATATCTAATTGACATGAGAACAGAACATAATGTGCTGACCCTCCAAAGGTCAAGAGCAGATTTATCACTAATTATAGTATTGATAATTTAAATAATATAAAATATAGCCTATGTTACTCACAGATAAATTACCTTTCTAAAGGTGAAAGAATTTAATTTAAAATTGGCCCAGTAGTTTTTGCATGAATGAAATACATACAAAAATCAAAATCTTTCCTCTTTTCAATATAGATACCACAAATGCCAAAATAATGGGAGCTTTATCTGTATTATTAGCAACCCCATTGCCTCCTTTATGATACCCATTGTACAGTTTTTTTTAACAATTTACATAACTATAGTAGATTATTAATTTTTATTGTATGTCATCACATATGTAATGTAAACAAAACTACACTAATTCATATTAATTATTTGTTCATGTATTGTTAATTAAAGATTTCTTATCACAGTAATATTCCATACAATTGTTTAAACAATATTTGCTGAACCAAACTATAGTATAATTTGGTTACCATTGTTAATTTTATATTAACACTATCTGAGAAGAATTGCATATGAATATTAAATAAATATTGAAAAAAAAAACCTAAAGATATTTTTGTTCTTTGTAAGAAAATTCTAATATAAGATAGATTTTTTGAGTGTAGTATTTCACTGCCCGGATAGCTCAGTCGGTAGAGCATTGGACTTTTAATCCAAGGGTCCAGGGTTCAAGTCCCTGTTCGGGCGATACTTTTTGTTGATTATTTCATATCTGAAAATTTTCTAAATTTCTAATATCAAGATTAAGTTAATTGTTTATTGATTTAATTACAGAAATATATTTTATATGACTGCAAATATTTCATATGTTTGTTTTTTAACAGCAAATGTTAATTTAAAGTAAAAACGTTTACGCCTCTGAAATAGAGGAGTAGGCAGAGGTTATGAATTTTGGAAAATGTATTTTTAATGACTGAAAGAAAAAAGAACTTGACAAAAAAAGACTTGACTTTTTACATTTGCGTCTATAATTTTTTTTTAAGGATTTCATTATTCAGTTTATGTATGTTTGTTTTTTCTTAATTTCAGGAGTTTCGCGTATTATTCTCTAAAAGATAGGTTGCCTGTGATACTAACCAAAGTGATAGACTATTTATCAAGAGAAGGAAGTGCAATTAAATCAGCACATAGTGCGGTAAGATTATTTACATTATTTTATAAATTAACATCTCTGTGTGTTTTTAATCTGTGGTTAATTAGGAGAATTTAATTTCCGACCCTTGTGCTTTAGGTCTCTTCTGTCTCTTATTTTCTTTGTGGTAAAACTGACATAGGTATAGAATAGAAAAATGCATTTCATTGGGTTTTTTATGTATTTTTTTTTCAGGGTGATGATGATATTCAAGGGTTGATACAATACATAACAAAGTTGAAGAACGACCTCATAACTAATAAGAAATACGATTTATTTACGGTTGACACCCCTGAGGCTAAAAGATGGAACAGATGGATAGAAAGCTGTGATAGTCAGCATTATTTTACTAATACATGGGTATTTACTGAATGTTATGTGTATAGAAGATTGAGAGAAGGTTGTGAATTAAGGTAAGATTCCACTAAACCTTCCTTTAAAGAATTAACTGTTAATTAAAAAATAAACAAGTACAAATCTCACTCAACTATTACTTTTAGACATTATAGTTTGATTACTCTAAATCAAAAAATTAAAATCTCAGTTTTAAAACGCAACCGATAGATGGCGCTATTACAAATAGATTAAAACTGTCAGTTGAATTTTTTCGTTTTTTATTTAATTTTCGGTTATTTTAATATCTTTATAATATTTATTTCAGTAAAGGGTTAAAAAACTTCGATCCCTTCGACGATCAGAAGCTGAAAGCGTTCCAGTTCAGTCTGGAGCCGATGTGCGTGGTGGCTGACAAGCTTGTCGGCATGTTGCCGCCCAGTGACAAGGACAAACGGAAAGCTGACTTCATCATGTTGCTAAAGGTATGTATATCCATGGATGGAGATGGATGGAAATGGCTAGTGATGGATATATGTAAATTGTTGAGATGTATGGATTGTTGGAGATGGATTAAGATTTTTAGAGATTGGATGGAAATAGATGGTGGTTATTGTAGATGCATGGAGATTGTTGGAGATGGATGGAGATGTACGGATATAGATGGATATTGTTGTTTATGAATGTAGATTTTTGGATATGGATGGAGATGTACGGAAATAGTTGGGAATGGCCAATTACTTTATTATACGAGTTAAAATTGTCTATGGCTCTATAATCTTTGTGTCTATTACTCAGTAAAAACATTTCAGATTTGTCTATGGGCTAACAAATGCGATCTGTCGCTGTCTATGGGCGAGCAGGTGTCGTTAAAGAACACAGACGGGAAAGAGAGGTCCGCTAGCGTTGTCTCTCTCTCTATTTTAGATCCGTTCAAAATGGTATTGGATTTAAAAGATAAGGTAATTTTAATTGTAACTTTAAAATATATGATTGTTTACGTGATTTTATAAAAACTTTGTTTTTTTTTCTGTACATTTGTCAATATTAACTGTCAAAAAATGTACAAATGACATCTTTGATGTTATATAAAAATTACTGTTACTATGGCAACCTTGCCTTAATAATTTCAATTTATAGTTTTTATCCCTTTCCTGTATTATTTTATTCAAATTTACTCTCTTAGAAGTATGAAAATAAAGTCTAAAGTCGTAAGTGTAGGGATTTTTATAAGAAAAAATATATTAAAAGACATACTGTGATTGCTCACTTCATACATAACTGTGTTCACCTTTTACCTTAGCTGTTCCCGTGCGACTTTATCCGCATAAAATTATGATTTTTTTTTATTGTTCACATTTGTCAAATTATCAATAGCAAATGTCAAAATGACATGACATGACAAACCTTAGCAAACTTTCTTCCTTGATGTTGGCAGCAACTTATGGCCTCTTTCCCACATTACAATTTTTATGCAAAATATTTACTCCCTAAGTTTAATGGCGTGAAAATATATAGCCTAAAGCGTGATAAGTGTAGGGCTTTTTATTAAAAAAAAACATTCAAAAATATACTATAATTTCTGACATCTTAGGCAACAAAGAAGTGTGTGTTTACGCTTTATTATAATAGTATAGACAGATTTTTTAATATCGTTTTTTGTATTATTTACAGGTGTTGGTAGATGACTCGTCTAAAATCTGCGATCAAATCATAGCTAAAACTGACGCCATGTCTAAAGCTATTGCTGCGGTGAGTTTACAATATTATTGCTATTTATAACAAATACTATTTTTCGCCCGCGATTCCGTCCGTGTGTAATTAAAAAAAAAGTGAGTAGTCTATGTGTTCATAATTTCATCGAAATCTGTTCAGCTGTTTAAGCTACAAACTCTAACATCAATCCATCCATCCATCCATCTAAACTTTCGCATTTATAATATTAGTTACATATATAATTTTCAAACTTATTGACTTTTGACAATGATTTAGTTTATTTTGATTTTTTTTTTCAATTCTTAGGTAGGTAAGAAATGAATACAGTGAGTTCTAAAGGACCACATTCACTACCAATTTGTTAGCAAAACTATAACTGTTGAACTGCACAGTTAGAGTTTTACAACTGCACAGTTAGAGTTTTACAACTGCACA